AAACAACAATGAGGTATTACCTCACATCTGTTTGAATGGCTATAAACAAATCAACAAATGACAAGTGCTGGCGAGGATGTGGAGAAAAGGGAACTCTAGTACACTGCTGTTGGGAATGCAGACTGGTGCAGCCATTATGAAAAACAGTATGGAGTTTCCTCAAAAAATTAAATATGGAATTGCCATTTGACCCAGTGATTCCACTTCGAGGAATATATCCTAAGAAACCCAGAACACCAATCAGAAAGAATATATGCACCCATATGTTCATAGCAGCACAATTTACAATAGCTAAGATCTGGAAACAGCCCAAGTGCCCATAAGCAGATGAGTGGATACAAAGGCTATGGTACATTTATGCCACTGAATACTATGGATCAGTAAAAAAGAAGGATCTCTTACCCTTTGAGACAGCATGGAGGGACCTGAAGAGTATTTTGCTAAGGGAACTAAACCAATCAGAGAGAGACAAGTATCACTTGATGTCACTCATATGTGGAACCTAATTTGAGACAGTATGGAGGGACCTGAAGAGTATTATGCTGAGGGAACTAAACCAATCAGAGAGAGACAAGCATCACTTATCTCACTCATATGTGGAACCTAAGAACAAAATAAACTGATGAACAAAGTAGATCCAGAGACATGGAAGCAAAGAACTTATATGCATAACCCATGCACACAGACAATAGTGTGGTGAAGGCCTGGGGTGGGGAATGGGGGCAGGCTAGAAGGAGTCAATGGGAAACAAAAGGGAACATCTGTAATACTTTCAACAATAAAGATTTTAAAACATTTTTTTTAAAACAGCAATCTTACATACCGTAACTTTATTATTCATATAAACTATTTTTTTTTCCTGAGGCCTGGGGTGGGGAGTGGGTGCAGGCTAGAAGGAGTCAATGGGAAACAAAAGGGAACATCTGTAATATTTTCAACAATAAAGATTTTAAAACATTTTTTTTTAAAACAGCAATCTTATAGACCGTAATTTTATTATTCATATAAACTATTTTTTTTCCTGTATTGCTATCATCAGTTGATCACACTTGACTGGCACTATCCTATATTTACCTAGTGGCTCCTGTACTAGTAAGCTGAAGGGGAAAGGTTCTCATACTAGCTTTTTCAGTTTTCTTTTTACTCATTGCAGTGCTAGAAGAATTGCTATGCTCTGTAAATACCTAAGTGAAAGACTTCTGGGAGGATATGTAGTGTAAATAATTTAACATCATCACTGATCCATGTTCTTGGGGATCTGAAGGTTTGTGTATGCATGTGGCCCGCGGGCCCTAGTTTGAGGACCCCTGTTAGGGATCTGAAGGTTTGTGTGGGAGAACGTTGCTTCCAGGCACAGTTAAGATGCCACCTTGTTCTTGGAAATCCTCCCTCAAAGGATTTACTAATGGTAAAGTGTCATATAAATTTATGACAAGTGTCATATAAATGGTCAAGTGTCCCTATAGCACTTACCACTCCATATATTATAACACTGTTGTGGTATTTTCCCTTTGGCTCTCTGAACCCTTCTCCCCAGAGTTAGGACTCCACTTCCAGGATAGTGTTTGCACTGTGGCACAGCATTCACTGCGCTATTTGCTAACTTGTGACTATGCACTCACAAGCCTGTGTCTCCCACTGGATACTGAACATCAGAGGTTCAGGGAGCCTTCTCAGCGTTGTGTTCCGAGCACCCAGCGCCGCCGCCCAGCACAGTAAATGGTTAGCAAGTGGGAAGATCGAATCAAGAGGTAATTAGAACAGGTGCAGGGCAAACATTTAAAAAGTCTTCTCGTTCTTGTGAAATGAGACTCATTATGGTAAATGATAATTCATTTCTGAAAGTTCTTTTTCCCCCCTCAAGTTTGTCTTACAGATAGTTTTACCTGTATTTGTCTTTCGATAAGGTAAGCGTGATTGTTTTCTAATCTGTGTCTGATTCCAATATACTTGGCCCTGTTTCTAAGTTGATTGTTTCATGTTACTTGGTTTCCTCATGCGCTTGGTTTTGTTTTATTACTGGTTAACGTGTTTTACAAGTGATTTGTTAGAGCGCCTCCAGTCCCAGGATGAACCTCTGGAGAGGCCTGTGTGTGTTCGCTGGGAGGTGGAGGGCCACCTCAGTCCCAAGCCCACTGAAGAGCTTGCTCATGGTGTGGCATTCTCTGGCTCACTCAGCATGAGGCTCAAAGGGCTGGGTTTTGGTCATCATCTCTCAGGATGGGTCTATATTTTTAATTTCCTTTTTCCCCTTTGATTTGAAACTACTCTGGCCTTCTCTGTAGTCCTCTACATTTTGGGGGGCAGGCAGTTTGGGTGCTGGATACTTTTTCTGAAGGGCTAGCTCTTTGGGGCCCCTGTTTAAATTTGAGGATGATCTCCTTTTACACATTGGGTGGGCTTTGGGCCTTAACTCTTGATTCCCTTATTCCCCTTTCCTGGGGCCACAGATGGAAGCCTAAGTGTGCATGAATGGCATCGGGCTCCTATTTCACCAAAATCCCCCAGGATTGGCCTGGGAGTTCTTTGATCTCTTTAATTTTTTTAAGCATTTCTAGAAACATCTTTATTACAAGTGTTTATTTTTAAATTGAAATGTATTTGGCATATAACACTGTAAAAATTTAAGGTGTACAATATGTTGATTTGATACATTTATATATTGTAATGTGATTGTCATTGTAGCGATAGTTAGCTCCTCTATCACATCCCATAATTATCATTTCTTTTTTGTGCTGAGAATAATTAAGATCTAGTCACTTAGCAGTGATACAATATGGTTGTCTTATTCACTATACTGTGCATTAGATCCCCAGGACTTGTCTGCTTTTAACTCCAGTCTTTTACAGTTTGTCAATCAATTTTGACCAAGAACTGCAAGGCAAACAAAAGCTTTATTTGGGGGTCTTTTTTTTTTAGGAATTGCAATCCAAGGATACATAGATTTGGGTAGAAAGTCAACTGTGTTCTGAGGGGGAAAGTAGGGAACAGAATTTATAAAGACAGAAAAAGGGGAGCGTCTAAAGGAGCTACACAAATTGCTTTGAAAGATCTGTGACTGGTGCTCACAGGAAGTCTTGCATTATGCTATACATGATTACTTGCTTATGTCTACTGTTAGGTGAAACTTTTATTTCTTCACAGAGAGTTCAGGGAATCAGTCTTTTCCAAGAACTGCGTCAGGACGCAGCCGTTTGGGTTAGCCCAGTTCTGAAGTTCAGTTTCACATGCGGTGAAGTGTTAGCCCACCTTCCTGGAGGCCTCCCAGCTCCATTTTAGCCTGTTCTCTTGTCAATATCAACTCCATTTTGCTGTGTGTGAGTGTGTGTTTTAACAAGGCACTTCCTCCACTCCCCCCCAAAATATGTATTTTAGCTAGCATATTTTTTCTTTTTCCTCCCTCCCTCTTCCTTCCCTCTCTCTCTCCCTTCCTTTCTTCCTTCCTTCCTTCCTTCTTCCTTCCTTCCTTCCTTCCTTCCTTCCTTCCTAGCAGGAAAATTCTGAATAACCTAGCCTACTAATTCTGGAAATAGGAGGTCTAAAAATAGAAATTCAACAATAAAAAATAAAATTTTAAAAATAAGAAATTATTAACAACTGCATGTAAGTCTTAAAAAGGTTTTAAAATAAGTTTCAAAATAACCTTTTCCCTTTGGACTTCTTTTAAACTTGTTAGTCAATGTAGATAACATAGATCATAAGTCAGTATAAAAATATTGCCATTTAGACATTTCAGGTGAAAAGGTCCCCAAGAATGACCCCCTACCCCCAATTATAAAAACTTCCCTAAAAATGTGTAGCTTGACTGACTGAACTTAATATAATTTATTTATTAAATTTACCATCCAGACACTTCCTGTTATAAGAAACAGAAATCTAATTTAAACTGGCTTAAAAGCCTAAGGGTATTTATTAGCTCAAATTGAAAGTATTAGGACGATGGCTTTAGGCACAGTTGGATCCAGGAACTCAAACACTGTCGTTGGGTCTAGTGTCTATGTGTCGTCTGTTCTTCTGTGTTAGCTCCTCTCTCTGGTGAGCTCGCCTGTGAAGGCGAGATGACTTCCCAGAACTTCAGACTCACAGCCTAGGCTTTATGTCTCTGCTCTCCAACTGTGTTGATTATGTATCCAACCGTGAAAGTTAAGCATATATCCCCAATGTGTGTATATTTATTTAGAAATTGTATGCTACCATATACCACTGTTATTCTCTATGTTACATTAATTACTAGTGACCCTTCTCTATGTTATGTTATATTAATTATTAATAGAGTTAAATCTTTTGTTTTGCATACCCCACGTTGGGGACTACTTAGTGGAAAGACCACATCTCTCCCATTAGTTATAATCATAGTCCTGTGACCACATCTCATTGGTTCTCTTTCGCCTAGCTTGAGTCCTATGCCCACTCCTGAGTCCAGAGCCCTCGGAAACAGTAAAAGCAACCTTTACTAATGTAAGGGGACAGAGATATCTGACTGGGCATAACTACAGAGGTGCTGTTTTTACTTTTTAACTATATTTACATTTTAGGATCTTATCATCACTGATGTATTATCAATAAAGGGAGACATAATCCTTCATTCAGTACAAAAAGTTATAGAACAAAGATTCTCTATTTCTAGAACACTTTAGTTTCACCAAATTTCTGTGATTTCACATTTGGAGTACATGAAAATATCCCATCTAGTTTCTGTTAATACTTCAGTGACAAGTGAGTGTTAAAGTGTAGGAATTGATGAGTTTTGAAAATATAGTTTCATTCTTGTAATTTTTGACAATGGCCATTTTGAATAAGATGAGTAGCTGTGTGAAAAGGCAAATACTAGAGGGTCCTGAATAACTGTCAGATTCCTAAAGAGAACACAGGTGCCCTGGTAGAGAGAGAGAGTTGTGCTTGGAAGAGTGGGTAAAGCATGTGAACGGAAAGTATTACTTAGGAGCTTTCTGATGAACAGGCTGTTTTATGTATTTAAACATTGATCTTCCGTGGCAGCACTGCAATGGCTCATCTAGATTCTGACATGAAAGAAGAGTGTCTGAGGAAAGACCTGCGGTTCTACTTCATGAACCCTTGTGAAAAATACCGAGCCAGGCACCAGATTCCATGGAAACTGGCTTTGCAGATTTTGAAGATACTCATGGTCACCGCACAGGTAATTTATATGATGAGTTCGTTTGGTGGGTTCCTTACCCCAAGATGAAACTGTGTTTTTATGTGTTCTGCCCCTTGACTTTTGTTCTGGGAGGTCCACACTCAAGTTCATAAAATTATAAAATTATGTTGATTCTGGAGGACAGATGGTACAGGGTGAAGTTCCTTTCCGACGATGACCTTGTTTCAGTAAGGGATGATGGCGCCCTGCCTCCACAGGTTCTTTCACTATAGGTGAACAGTAGATCTGTATTGCAGGGTGTGGGTTTCTATATCTGAATGAGGCACATAGGCTGGTGCAGGCTGCTCAATCCAAAGTGACCTCTGTTCTTGAATTTTCTCATCTTTATCCAAATACATCTTATTTAAATACGCTTTTGAAAGTTGCATCTTCGACTGGTTTGACTTTAAAGACTTAGAGAATGCTAAGCATCCCTTTCATCAGTGGCATGGCTGAGTGCTCTGAGTATTTAAATACTAAGCCCCTGGCATTATAAGGAGCATAGAGAGGCTACATTGAGACCTTCCCCCCCGCCCCCTCTTCATTTTTATTTATTTTTTTATTATTTTTTATTGATTTTTTACAGAGAGGAAGGGAGAGGGATAGGGAGTTAGAAACATCGATGAGAGAGAAACATTGATCTGCCTCCTGCTGCACACCTCCCACTGGGGATGTGCCTGCAACCAAGGTACATGCCCTTGACCGGAATGGAACCCAGGACCTTTCAGTCCGCAGGCCGACGCTCTATCCACTGAGCCAAACCAGCTATGGC